TCAAATGCAGAACAATACTGGATTACTCAAACATGCCCGAATCAATTGGAATACAACTTAAGGGAACGTCATTATAACTTGGTTCGACGCTCATAAAAGTGAATTTTACACAATATGTTTCCTTTTAAACAACACAAACTTAAGCTCTGAACAAATATGTGATGATGCAGACTCCATTTGGCAAGAGACAAATTGAAAATAACCTTGGTATGAATGTAAAAGTGTATATGTATGTATATAAGAAAAAAAAGGTATTTAAGCTTATAAAACTTATTGTCGTCCACTGAAAGTTTGAGGCAGGCATTATCTACTTTTGCTAATACAGCTTCTCAGTTTATTTTATTTTGCTTGAGGCTATGTAAAGCAAGTTTATTACAGAGCACAGTTCCTGAACAAAGTAAACCAGAGTGCTTTACAGAATAAGAAAGACATTAACATCAAAATACAAACCAGTAAAAACTAAACGTAAACTTTAAAGGTTTTATGTTACGCAAAATTTACTCCTGTGAGGTTTAAGTCGTGTTGTAATGTTGTTACTTTCTCACAAACAGACCTGGAGTTGTGTTTTGTTTCATTCACGCATGTTGGAGTAATCCTTTATTATTAGTCTGTCTACATTTCCAAAGCTCAAAATGTTCTGGTCCACCTTGTGATGTCATGTAGTGGTATTTTTCAAATTAACAGCTACTTTTTACCTTTTGTTCAGTAGAAACGGACAATTCCAGGGCTGAAATTGTCCAAATGATTCTAGTAAAGGTGAATGGAAAACACTACTCCTGGCAGAGTCCTGCACAGGTCCGTTTTTGGAGACCCGCACCTGCCCGCACCTGCCCGCACCTGCCCGCACCTGCCCGCACCTGCCCGCACCTGCCCGCACCTGCCCGCACCTGCGCAGTACAGCACCACACCCGCCCATTAACCCGTGATTATATCAAAGTTAAATCTGAACCTGCCCAGACCCGTTAATATTCCTTCCATTACCCGCATGTGCTCGTGATAAATCGGGGTCAGCCCATTAGTCCAGGACTAAACCAGGACTAAACCAGGACTAAACCAGGACTACCAGGACTACCAGGACTAAACCAGGACTAAACCAGGACCATACCAGGACTGAACCTACGCCGTGCCATTAGTGGATTATAAATATATACATGGCGCAACCACTGAGCCGAGGACTACACCAGGACTGAACCAGGACTAAACCAGGACTAAACCAGGACTAAACCAGGACTAAACCAGGACTACACCAGGACTACACCAGGACTGAACCAGGACTACACCAGGACTACAACCAGGACTGAACCAGGACTAACAGGACTACACCAGGACTACACCAGGACTACACAGGACTACACAGGACTACAGGACTACACAGGACTAAACCAGGACTACACCAGGACTACCAGACTAAACAGGACTACACCAGGACTACACCAGGACTACCAGGACTACACAGGACTACAGGACTAGGACTACACCAGGACTGACACCAGGACTGAACACCAGGACTGAACCAGGACTAAACAGGACTACACCAGGACTACACCAGGACTGAACCAGGACTGAACCAGGACTACACCAGGACTACACCAGGACTACACCAGGACTACACCAGGACTGAACCAGGACTGACACCAGGACTACAGTAGGACTACACCAGGACTGAGGACTGACAGGACTGACTGAGGACTACCAGGACGACACCAGGACTAACCTAACCAGGACTACACCAGGACTGAACCAGGTCTAAACCCTGACTAACCAGGACTGAACCAAGATTACACCAGGACTGAACTGAACCAGGACTGAACCAGGACTGAACCAGAACTTAACCTATTGAGCCGATCACCTCCTTTGCTGGTTTTATATAATAAACACACTAAAGTCTCTCTCAACCTGGTCCATCGTTCCGGGAAAAGACCAAGAAATGGTTCTTGTTTTCAGGGCGAAGGACGTCCTGGACACGCGTCAAGTATTTTTCTCCCATTCGTCGTTCATTTGATTCACCTGACCCGTCCGTGTGTAATCACTAACCGCCCTTAAAAGTCCAGAATGATAAAACCCGCCTGTTTTGGCAGCTATTTGCGGGTACCCAACCTGGTGAAGGATTCTGACTCCAGGTCTGTTTTTACGAGGAAACAACATTATAACATAGATCAGAAAATACATTAATATGGGCCCTTTAAAAATTACCTTCAAAAGAGTTCATTTAAAAGAGTACAGATATTTTTTTCCCAGCCATTCACACCACAAATCCCTTTACAAATCTCATTAAAAAAAAATGTCATACAGTTTCAAATCCTTGTTTTCTTAGCGGAGGAAGTCCCTGGTGCTGTGTCCTTTAGTCACATGGCCGCCCTCTGATTGGCTGTCAGGTCCGTAGATGATCTGCATCCATCACCATGACGACGCTTCACTGGCTGCTCCAGAACCATCCGAGCGTCGAGAGCACTGAGCCAAAGAGAGAGAGGGCCAAATCTCCGAGATACGCAGGGTTACATCTGTCAGGACTTCGGGGGAATATTTGAGTTGATTTTACTTTCATATGAGGAGTGTCAAAGTTTTCTGAATGGGCTCATGTTACTGTACTTTCTGATCTGTGTTATAATGTTGTCTCCTCATCACAAACAGGCCTGGAGTTGTTTTTTCTTTCATTCACATTGTGTTTATGTAACTTTTCTGTTGGGGATTCACCACCTGCTCGTTTCCATGGAGATGTTATTGCTTTGTTGGGATTGTTCCACCGTATGACATTAGCTCAAATGCAGATTGCAAATTTCTAGAATGGGACAATGACATTTACCAAACCTATTGAGATATTTTGAAAACTTTGCTCTGCCTGTATTACTGTATTTTTCTGACTGTAAGTTGCTCTGAAATATAAGGTGCACCAGCCAAAAACTGTGTAATGAAAAAGAAAAAAACATGCAATTTGGGGGGGAATTTATATAGACCAAGAATCGACATTTTATCTTGAAAGGCAAGTTACAGTAATAATAACAACAGACTGTTAACGTCACATATGAACAGTTCTTCAGATTAAACTATAACATAAACAACAGAACAAGTTTAACAAACTCTCCATCTCACTCCAAATCACTAAATAGCGGCGGCAGTAGCTCAGTTGGTAGAGCATTCGCCCACTGATCTGAAGGTTGGTGGTTCAAATCCAGTTCTTGACATAAACATCCCAGGTTGAGCGGTCAGATCCACTGACCCACAGGTTGGCTGATGTGATTCCAGCTCCCACAGATGAATGCTGTCGTCGTGTCCTCGGGCAAGACACTTAACCCACCTCGCCCACAGTGTCTGCGTACACTGTGTGTGAATGTGTTTGTGAATGGGTCAGTGGTTCCTTGTTGTAAAGCGCTTTGAGTGCCTTGAAGGTGGAAATGCGCTATAGAAAAATGTGACCATTTTACCAAATACATTCAATTCTTCATCCTCGGTGTCATTTCTGAGCAACTCCTCGACCTCCGGAGGTAAAGGCAAGGCAAGCGTACACAAAGTACAATTTCACATTTCAGAAGAATAAAATTACATGGAGAGAATTGTCGTTCACAGTGTCGGATCAGACAGAAGAGTCACATGTTCATGTTCAGGTTTTAGCTGCATGTGAAACTCTGACAGTTGACTCTGGGCAATTGATTTCTGCCTTTCACAGATGAATGGAGACCCGACTGCTTAGGAGGCATGGTTTTGTCACTTCCTAGTGTCACTGAAGTCTGCAGGCTTTGTTTATCCATCCAATGACTTCCAGGAGAAAGATTGCTGCAGATGCTGAGCTGGCTGCTCCCGCCCATTTGCCGTGAAGCTGTGTTTTCCATCCTTGCTTTTCGGCCAGTCCCTCATAAGTTTCTTGCTCACTCCAAACTTTCTTTCTGCTGCTTGATTACCATTTTCGGCTGCATATTTCACTACTTGCAGCAGGACAGAGGCTCTTTCTGCAGGAGACATGTGCAGTAGAGCCAAGTGAGAGTGGTACAGGAGTAATAGGAGCAGCAGATACTGACACACAAGACTAGAGCGCCCTCTAGCGACTATCAGTGTAAGCATTTTAATATATAAGTTGCACCGGAGTACAAGTCGCAGGAAACACTCAAACCATGAAAAACGTGTGACTTATAGTCTCAAAGATGTGTGAATGAAACGAAACAAAGTACAACTCCAGGTGTGTTTTTGAGCAGGTAACAACATTATAACACAACTTAAAGCTCACAAGAGTTAATTTAGCGTAATATAGGACCTTTAATGTGTTTGAGCTGCTATTGTTTTCACCACAGAACTCTAAAAGAGCTAAAACAATAATACGGGATTATGTCATCACACCTCTCAAATCAGATACTTATCGATACTAAAACAAAACAAACGCCGATACTGCAAAAAAAAATCACATTAACGGGATGAAATTTGGGCTTTCCTGAACATTTATAAGATGATTATGACCATGTTTTCCTTCTTGAGCGAAGTACTCAGCCTAAATATGCAGGGCTTGTTTACATTTTTCCTAATTTCCTAAAGCATTCTTGAGACAAAAACACTTACCAAGTTAATGTCCCTCTCAAACGCTCTTTTACATCTCTTGCATTTGTCTGTTTACTTCTTATTGATTTGATCGTTGGTTTGTTTACGCACCGAATTCAATCACAATAATTCAAAGTTGTCAGACGTAAATGTATACAGGTTTCTGCATATTCACTGTAATGGATGACGGGTGTAGAGTAGGTCAAGGCGCGGCAATAACTCTTTCCAGTATAACTACCTGCCAAGAACTCCCCCCAGACAAATAAAATACAACACGACTCCTCATTTTGAAATTCTACTTTACAGGATCATACAGTAGTTTGGGGGCTACGATATTTTAACACAAAAAAGAAAAAAAACGACACCGACTTTGATGTGTTTTTGCAGCCAGTCGAATGCTTTTCAATTTCTACGTTTAAATACATTTCCACGCGTGTAATTTGTAGTAAAACCGGTTGTATTTTCTGTGTTTTTAGTGGATCTTCTCGGCTTGCTGAAGTGGCGGTCCAACACGAGCCTCCTGCAGCAGAACCTGCGTCAGCTCATGAAGGTGGAGGGCGGAGAGGTCGTCAAGGTAACCAGTTTATGTTTTGGAAAAGTTACATAAGACAATCCAGCATTACATTATGACCACTGACGATATAAACATTTTGAGCCCAATGTAACGTGTGATTTGTCTCAGTTTATATCAGAAATGTCCCTGGTGACCCTTTTTAACAAATTTGATCCCTGTCAACAGTAAAGAGAGGCAAACAATGTCATTTGTTTAGATAAAATACAGAAAAGCATCTTAAAAATGATCAAAACACAAAGAACTATGACTATACTGACGCACATGAATGGGCCAAGTACTTAACAGTTTTCCTTAATTATTAGGGATGTAACAATATCCAAATCTCACTGTGCGATATTTATTGTCATATTTTGTGGAGGCGAACAAAACAGTAAAAAATATGCTACTTTTTCCTCTTAAAATTGTCAAGACAATATTTAATTCAAAGAACTAAGATTTAAAATTGCTTAGAACTGTTATTTCTTCATGTAGTTTGCACCAAAACGGAGCAAAGGATCGTGGTTGATGTAGTTCTCTCTGTTTTTTTTATTGCTATTGCTGCACCATAACTTTTAATTTAAGCAAAGAAACTTGATATATTGTGATGTTCCACGATGTTATTGAGAGGCTGTTGACGATACGATATCTATTTTTACTCCTGGTTTAGACTTGGTTTAGTCCTGCTTAAGTGCTGTTTTTAGTCCTGGTTCAGTCCTGCTTTAGTCCTTTAGTCCTGTTTTTAGTCCTTCTTTAGTCCTGTTTTTAATCCTTCTTTAGTCCTGCTTTAGTCATGTTTTTAGTCCTGCTTTAATCCTGTATTTAGTCGTGGTTTAGTCCTTCTTTAGTCCTTCTTTATTCCTGTTTTTAGTTGTGCTTTAGTCCGGTTTTTAGTCCGGTTTTTAGTCCTGTTTTTAGTCCTGCTTAAGTCCTGTTTGTAGTCCTGTTTTTAGTCCTGGTTTAGTCCTGTTTTTAGTCCTGGTTTAGTCCTTCTTTAGTCCTACTTTAGTCCTGCTTTAGTTCTGCTCTAGTCCTTCTTTAGTCCTGTTTTTAGTCCTTCTTTAGTCCTGTTTTTAATCCTTCTTTAATCCTGCTTTAGTCATGTTTTTAGTCCTGTTTGTAGTCCTGTTTTTAGTCTGGTTTAGTCCTGTTTTTAGTCCTGGTTTAGTCCTTCTTTAGTCCTGTTTTAGTTCTGCTTTAGTTCTGCTTAGTCCTTCTTTAGTCCTGTTTTTAGTCCTTTTTTAGTCCTTCTTTAGTCCTGTTTTTAATCCTTCTTTAATGTGCTTTAGTCATGTTTTTAGTCCTGTTTGTAGTCCTGTTTTTAGTCCTGGTTTAGTCCTGTTTTTAGTCCTGGTTTAGTCCTTCTTTAGTCCTGCTTTAGTTCTGCTTTAGTTCTGCTCTAGTCCTTCTTTAGTCCTGTTTTTAGTCCTGTTTTTAGTCCTTCTTTAGTCCTGTTTTAGTCCTTCTTTAATCCTGTTTAGTCTGTTTTTAGTCCTGCTTTAATCCTGTATTTAGTCGTTCTTTAGACCTTCTTTAGTCCTTCTTTATTCCTGTTTTTAGTTGTGCTTTAGTCCGGTTTTTAGTCCGGTTTTTAGTCCTGTTTTTAGTCCTGCTTAAGTCCTGTTTTTAGTCCTGTTTGTAGTCCTGTTTTTAGTCCTGGTTTAGTCCTGTTTTTAGTCCTGGTTTAGTCCTTCTTTAGTCCTACTTTAGTCCTGCTTTAGTTCTGCTTTAGTTCTGCTCTAGTCCTTCTTTAGTCCTGTTTTTAGTCCTGTTTTTAGTCCTTCTTTAGTCCTGTTTTTAATCCTTCTTTAATCCTGCTTTAGTCATGTTTTTAGTCCTGCTTTAATCCTGTATTTAGTCGTTCTTTAGACCTTCTTTAGTCCTTCTTTATTCCTGTTTTTAGTTGTGCTTTAGTCCGGTTTTTAGTCCGGTTTTTAGTCCTGCTTAAGTCCTGTTTTTATCTGTTTTTAGTCCTGTTTTAGTCCTTTTTTAGTCCTGCTTTAGTCTGTTTTTAGTCCTTCTTTAGTCCTGTTTTTAATCCTTCTTTAATCCTGCTTTAGTCATGTTTTTTAGTCTGCTTTAATCCTGTTTTAGTCGTTCTTTAGACCTTCTTTAGTCCTTCTTTATTCCTGTTTTTAGTTGTGCTTTAGTCCGGTTTTTAGTCCGGTTTTAGTCCTGTTTTTAGTCCTGCTTAAGTCCTGTTTTAGTCCTGTTTAGTCCTGTTTTTAGTCTGGTTTAGTCCTGTTTTTAGTCCTGGTTTTTAGTCCTTCTTTAGTCCTACTTTAGTCTGCTTTAGTTCTGCTTTAGTCTGCTTAGTCCTTTTTAGTCCTGTTTTTTAGTCCTGTTTTTAGTCCTTCTTTAGTCCTGTTTTTTAATCCTTTCTTTAATCCTGCTTTAGTCATGTTTTTAGTCCTGCTTTAATCCTGTATTTAGTCCTGGTTTAGTCCTTCTTTAGTCCTTCTTTATTCCTGTTTTTAGTTGTGCTTTAGTCCGGTTTTTAGTCCGGTTTTTAGTCCTGCTTAAGTCCTGTTTTTAGTCCTGTTTTTAGTCCTTTTAGTCCTTTTTTAGTCCTTTTTAGTCCTGTTTAGTCCTTCTTTAGTCCTGTTTTTAATCCTTCTTTAATCCTGCTTTAGTCATGTTTTTAGTCCTGCTTTAATCCTGTATTTAGTCGTTCTTTAGACCTTCTTTAGTCCTTCTTTATTCCTGTTTTTAGTTGTGCTTTAGTCCGGTTTTTAGTCCGGTTTTTAGTCCTGCTTAAGTCCTGTTTTTAGTCCTGTTTGTAGTCCTGTTTTTAGTCCTGTTTTTAGTCCTGGTTTAGTCCTTCTTTAGTCCTACTTTAGTCCTGCTTCAGTTCTGCTTTAGTTCTGCTCTAGTCCTTCTTTAGCCCTACTTTAGTCCTTCTTTAGTCCTTCTTTAGTTCTGCGTTACTCCTTCTTTAGTCCTTCTTTAGTCCTTCTTTAGTCCTCCTTTAGTCCTACTTTAGTCCTGCTTCAGTTCTGCTTTAGTTCTGCTCTAGTCCTTCTTTAGTCCTTCTTTAGTTCTGCGTTACTCCTTCTTTAGTCCTTCTTTAGTCCTACTTTAGTCCTACTTTCAGTTCTGCTTTAGTTCTGCTTCCTAGTCCTACTTTAGTCCTGCTTCAGTTCTGCTTTAGTCCTTCTTTAGACCTTCTTTACCCCTGTTTTAGTCCTGTTTTTATCCCTGTTTTTAGTCCTTCTTTCTTTTCTTTCGTCCTGTTTTATTCCTGCTCAGCACCTCATGATATTTCCGGCCCATATAAACCATTAGCATTAGCATTCACCTCTCGATGCTACACATTTTTAGTCTATCATCACAAACACCTCTCCTGCGCTCGGGCTTTGATGAGAGCTTTGGCTCGCAGCAGCTGGTGACATAAACAATGCAGTCAAACAAAACCGTCATTTTCCCCTAAAAACCACAGATCCTTGGCACCAATTTCACAAATGATTTCACAGCTGTCCGTCTGCAGGACAGGTTGTGGGGTGTCTGTTTGTGCAATCACCTTTTTATGTTTCTCACAGGGACGGTTGGTATTTTTGGCCCAGTGATAATACCCCTGCCCACCTGTGTTTATTTATATAGAAAGGATAAAACGAGCAGCTGAATGCCTTTATTTCAAAATGGTTTCTTGCAGCAAAAATGGCGACAATTGTACGTCCGTCTCCGTGCGTTGCCGAATTGTGACGCGTCAATAGAACCGGTGACGCTGGACTATTTCAGTGCTGTCAGCTGTTTAAACTCCAAAAATAAAGCGATCTGTCATACACCAGTTAAGTGTGACGTACGGCAGCTTTTTGGCTTTTTGTCTATATTGGGTTTCCATGCTTCTTCTTGACGTTACATTAATTTCTTGCTTAACCTTGACCACAGCCAGTGTTTGGAAGAGCAGTATTTTTTGGACTATAAGGTGCACCGGATTATAAGGTTCAATATCAATAATGTTGAATTCTCTCGTCTGTTTTCATACATAAGGTGCACAGGATTATAAGGAGCATTAAACGAAACAAACGGACGACACTTGAGACTGATCCCTTAGTCCAGACATAAACAGTCCCATTGGCAGATCGTGGCATAATTTGGCCGGCGTTGCCTCCCTGTCTTGGTGAAGATGTATTATGAATGTGAATGTGGGTGGACGACTCAAATTTACACTGAGTTTAAAGCAGCTTTGCGCACATTTATCTATGTTTTACAGACACAAAAGTTAAAACCATGTGGTTAATTTGCATAAACTATAAGCACTGAAAAAACAGCTCTGATGCAATCAGCTTCTATCGGACTAAATCTGCACGTCATACCCATAGACTGTATGTAAAAATGGACATATTTTCTCTGTAGGATTTCATTAAGGTCAGAACTATACTTCACACTTTACTCTGCGAGGCTCCTGACTACAGCAGCCGTAATGCTCTGACAATCCATCAAGCGGTGTGGCCTCGTAGTTTACCAAAGTCGTACTAAAACATTTTGACAGATTTTTGATCGCCGTGTACCACATAAAATCAGTTCGAGGTCAGTAAGCACAACCAGAATTAATACATAAGGCGCACTGGATTATAAAGCGCACTGTTGATTTTTGAAAAAAATAAAAGGATTTTAAGTGCGCTTTATAGTACGAAAAATATGGTAACTAAATACATGTGTGATTACACCGAAAATATGTATTCTCTTCTCTCTCTCTTTCATCTGGTGGTATTCAAAATACAGTTTCTTAAAACTGCATAAATAAATAAAAGGACTACATTGCAATACTTCATCATGCAATTTTAGCATTGAATTGCACAGAATTAGTGAAGGAAAAAAAAAAAAGCACACTCTTCTGGTGAGTGTATACGCAACTTTTCCTTCTCTAATTACACAAATGAATGTACAACATATACAGATCAATGCAATTTGGTGGAAAAGTATTCTAAGTATTCAGAATATAGGAGTTTGGTCGACCCATGTATCGGAGGATGCTACAGTGCATTAGATGAAGTTTGAGTATCACACGTGAGGTTGATAAAATTAGACATAACTTGTTTTAAATAGGTATTTTAACAGCATTTAACCTTCAAAACAGCATTGACAATATTAGCCATAATTTCATGTCTCCTTATAGCCCCCCTGATACCTGTACCACACTTGCACATCTCTCAGCCTGACATTCACCTCTCCTTGAATAACACGTCTTCTTCTTGTCCGTGTGTTCAGTTTTTGCAGGACACGCTGGACGCCCTGTTCAACATCATGATGGAAAACTCAGACAGTGACACCTTTGATACTCTGGTCTTCGACGCTTTGGTAAGATCCTGTCAAAACATTACAGCAGATAAAATGTTGTAAGTTGTCAGCTCTCGTACTCGTGTCTGGCCTCTCTGAGTTGGCCTTTTCGATTTGATTTGTCCTGAATATTTCTGAGGTGCAAGAGTGACTTATTTGTGTTAGAAAGTTGTAAACGTCTGACAGATCTAGTTTGGCCTGAAGTGAAATTGATATGTTCTGAAATGTGAAGTGATGTGGGAAAAAAAAAACAAAAAACGAAGAAACTAGGATGTGAATTTTCTCTCTTGCCATTAACCTGACTCTAGAATAAAAACATCGCTCTATACAGTATGTTGATCTGAGATAGACCGATATGTTGGTTGGCATATATATCGATATTTGGTCGATATTTTCTCTATTTAGTGTATTGGCCTGACTAAAAACAGTTCTCTTCTACAGTTTGTGGTAAAACAAGTTGGTGGGGGAGTTTGTACTAAATTTAAATTATACAACTGGGGGAAAATAATCAAAACTGGTCCAACATATTGGCCCAAAAAGGTTGTTCTGGATTGTAAATAATCGGTATCCGTCAGAGGTGGGACCAAGTTGTTGTTTTGCGAGTCTCAAATAAGTCTCAAGTCTTTGACCTCAAGTCTGAGTCAAGTCCCAAGTCACTGGCCCATAAGTCCAAGTCAAGTCATTTCAAATCTCTAAACCAAAATATCAAATATAGCTTTGATTTTTGCAGTTTATATGAATTTTAAACTAAATTGTACTTAAAAAGTCATGGTATATTTATATATGAGTATTTATATAAGAGTTGTAGAAATGCAAATTTTTCCTTTTTAAATGTCTTGACAAGATCTTAGTGTGAATTATTAGTCAGAACAGAAAGAATTCAGATTTAAAAAGTGCTAAATATCAGTTATTTTGTCAAGAATGATCATCATCTCTGTAGTTCTCTCTGTTTTACTGTATTGTACTGTATATTACTGTGTTGTACTGTGTATTACTGTGATTGTACTGTATATTACTGTGTTGTACTGTGTATTACTGTAGTACATTTGATCACAGTACTTCAGTTACATCCATAGTAACAAACAGAGAATTGGGAGGAACATGTTAAAGTTTGTTCCTTTCAAATTCAGCACCGCATTTATGTGAAGAGAAAAGTATTTCTAAAAGCTTAGTTGTCAGCAGAAGCATCAAGTCTTCTCAAGTCGAAGGTCTCAAGTTCGAGTCAAGTCTCAAGTCATTCGCGTTCAAGTCCAAGCTTGAGTCCCAAGTCTTAGTCCATTTTATCAAGTCAAGTCTCAGGTCCTAAAAATAGTGACCCAAGTCACGACTTGCAAGTCCCACCTCTGGTATCGGTCAAGCTCCACATTTATCTGTCATTTTATAAAACATTTCTATCAGGCTGTTCAGTGACGTTAAATCAATATATTTGAAGAGTTCAACAGCAAAAACACATTTCTCCATTTTGAAAAATTGCCATGAAGTGTGAAGTTTTGTTTTTGTTCCCATCTTCCAGAGATATTAGCAATAACAATAATGTATAGTGGATTTTATCAAGAAGAGATGTAATTATATTTTGATGAAATTAAGAGTAAACTGCAAACATCCAATGACTTTTTCAAGTGGCACTTATCTGTTTTTGCAAATGAACTCATCAAATATACTTATAATGTTGTTGTTTTTTAAACTCTATTTTTATTAGAATGTTTTAGTTATTTTTTTTTAATATGTATTGCATATTTACATACACAACTTAGTAAAAACTTAGTAAATTAGTATTGTAGAACAGAATAAACCAACAGACCAACCAAAAAAAAAAAAAATAATAATAATAATAATTAAATAGGAGGCCATCAAGCAAGTGACAAAGATCTATTAAAAAATTACATTAGGCTTTGTTTTGTTTGTAAGATTTCCACTTTTTCCAATACAGTTCTCCGTTATAATGTTTTATTTTAATACGATTTTAAGTAGCTACTTCCCATATATTTTCATTAAAGGTGCACTATGGAACTTTTTGGTCCCACGGTATGACATTTAACAGATCTACCTCACATTTATTCAATTACAAGTGCGTTTATAGCTCAAAAATACAAAGAAAAACAAACATTCTGACTGCGAGCGGGGACGTCTCTCCGCAGATCTGACCTGTAACTTGCTCTGGTTTGGTCTCCATGAAGATAGAAAGGTTTAATGCCATACTGTGAAACATTCCAGACATGGCAATAACATCTTCATGGAGAAAAGCGTTTGAAAAGTTACAAAATGCTCCTTTAAGGTTGAGCAGACTTAGTTCATAAACAGTCCCAATTAGAGTTTGTTTTTTTACTGACACAAAGCCACAGACTGTGAAGCCAGACGAAAATTATGTCGCATTTGCACTCAGTTTTGCCTTTTTATATTATTTCCTATTGCTATAATTTTCAGAGACGGTTTCCAGAATATCACATTACATCAGAATGGCCCCCTGCTGTTCGCAAATACAAACACTCTATCATTTTAAATCATTTCCTATTTCACACAAACCTAATTCTGTTTTGCCCTTAATACCTTCTCACACTGGGGGAGCATTTTCGTATCAGTGTCTAATATTAAGTGTCCTATTTCCTTGTCAAAACGAGAAGATTTCATTACGTTACGCCAAAAAATTAGGCGTCATTTCTAGCCTCCCGTCACCTTCAATCTCTGGGCCAATTGAAAAAAGGAGGAGATTTTGTCTCAGTGAAATTGTCTTGTTGATGTCCAAGATTAACTTCCATCTGGAGAATTGAAAAGAAATGGTTTTCCAATTGTATTACTGAACGATTTGGGGGAAATATTACATTTTTTCCGACAAGGATTGCTGTTGTATTTGTGATTTTACGTTTTAATAATAGGGTTCATATCGGAGTTCACATTTCGAACGCGTGCAGAAGAATTGACAAAAAGACGGAAATTTAAACCGACAAACTAATACAAGAATCACAGTAAAACAGGATATTTTGTTGGTTGTGGAGGAAATGATGGCGCTTTAAACGTTGCAGTCAAATTGTGTCCGTTTTGATTCTTGATTTGTGTTTTTCCTCTTCCCTTTGACAGGTCTTCATCATCGGGCTCATCGCAGACAGAAAGTTCCAGCATTTCAACCCGGTCCTGGAAACCTACATCCGGAAACACTTCAGCGCCACACTGGCCTATATGTGAGTCTGATAATACTTCACATGTAACTTCACACATTTATAACACTGTTTGGTTACAGGGGTGCATGCATGGATTTATAAATATAACTGGATAAGGTGTTGCCTCCAGTTGGCATAGTGGTCACTCACTGGTACTACAGCCAAAAAATCCACTTTTTCTCATAGAGTCCAATGTAATCACATCTTGCACCTACAACTTTCAAAAATGTCGAATTTTGTGGCAATTTTTACCTATTTTTAGATCATAAAAATGTAATCACATGATACATGAGACCGCGCTCATTGCATGTGCTCATGTACATTGGCGTGTGTATTGGCGGGAGAAAAGAGCTCTACTGCACGTGCTCAGTCTGCGGGTGAAGTGTCTTGCTTAAGGACACAGCTAGTTTTTGTCACTGGAGTTCCACTGTGGTGGGACCTGGTATTCTGGAGGAGTATAAGTCGCTCGCAGCAGCCAAAAAATGCATCCTAAAAAAGAAAAAACATAAGTTGCACTGTACTATAAGTCACACTTTTGGGGTAAATTTATTTTATAAATCAGAGACCAGGAACCGACATTTCATCTTGAAAGGCAAGTTACAGTAATAATAGAACAGAGAACAACAGACTGTTAACGTCACATATGAACAGTTCTTCAGATAAACTATAACATAAACAACAGAACAGAACAAGTTTAACAAACTCTCCATCTCACTCCAAATCACTAAATCCATTCAATTCTTCATCCTCGGTGTCACGTCTGAGCAACTCCACCACTTCCAGAGGTAAACAGAGCGCCGCTTCCTCTTCTGTGTCGCTGTCGTCAGACTCAGCATCAGTTCCACTTAGAATTATTCCGGCCTTTCTGAATCCCGACAGGATGGTTTTGGTGTCACTGAAGTCACTTGAATTAAAAATTTTCAGTGGTACAGAAGTAACGGTGCGATCGACTGACATGATACAGACAGGACAGAGGCTCTTTCTGCAGGAGACATGCGCAGTAGAGTGAAGTGACAGTGGTACAGGAGGAACAGGAGCAGCAGATACTGACACACAAGACTAGAGCGCTGTGTCAGTGTGAACATTTTAATATATAAGTCGCAGGAAACACCCAACCCATGAAAAAAAAAGTGCAACTTACTGTCTGAAAAATATGGTATTTATGTGTTATTTATTTATTTATTTTTATTTTTTATAGGAAGCTGACCAAGGTGTTGAAGAACTACGTCGACAATGCGGATAAACTGACGGAGCAGCTGCTGAAGGCCATGAAGGCTCTGGAGTACATCTTTAAGTTCATCGTTCGCTCCAGGGTCCTCTTCAACCAGTGAGTGTCAGCCTGCGCTTCAATAAACCACTCGCTGTGTCCACCCGCTACATAAAAGTCTAATGACAAATCTATAGGCACAAGCACAAGTGTCGGGTTGTTAGGTTATACGGAGTGCAGGAGTGGAGACCGGAGCAATAGAAGTAAGACAACCGTTACCTAAAATATAAATCAGACGTACAATACAGATCTAATAAATTCCTCAAGAAAGTGTATCGAAGTATGAGGGGAAATGTGGTTTATTCTAGTTACAAGCTGCAAAACTACAAAACTGAGGGAGGGCATCTGGTACAACACCCGTCTAATAAATATGATCAGTTATTGGTCGTTGGGGCAGGATGGCGTCGCTCTAGATGTGATTGGAAGAAGTGGAGTTTTATTGTGGTGGCGGCGAGAGGCTGAGTTTGTGCCAGAGCAGGATCAGCTCTTCACTGTGACGCTTCGGTAAAACGCTGGAGTAAGCACTGGGAACGCAGCAACGCTCGCGGAGAGGGGGAGGAGGGGAGGAGAGGGGAGAGAGAGAGGGAGAGGGAGGAGAGGGGGAGGAGGAGAGAGAGGGAGGAGAGAGGAGGGAGGGAGGAGAGGGAGGAGAGGGAGGAGAGAGAGGGAGGAGAGAGAGGGAGGAGAGGGAGAGAGAGGAGGAGAGGGGAGAGAGAGAGGGAGGGAGAGGGGAGGAGAGGGAGGAGAGGGAGGAGAGGGGGAGGAGAGAGGAGAGGAGAGAGGGAGAGGGAGGAGAGAGAGAGGGAGGAGAGGGGAGGAGAGGGGAGGAGAGGGGGGAGAGAGAGGGAGGAGGAGGAGGGAGAGGGGAGGAGAGGGAGGAGAGGGAGGAGAGAGAGGAGGAGAGGGAGGAGAGGGAGGAGAGAGAGGAGAGGAGGAGAGGAGGAGGGAGGAGGAGGGAGGGAGAGGGGGGGAGGAGAGGAGAGGGAGGAGAGAGGAGGAGAGGGAGGAGGAGGAGAGGGAGGAGAGAGGGGAGGAGAGAGGGAGGAGAGAGGGAGGAGAGGGGAGAGAGGGGAGGAGAGGGGAGGAGAGGGGAGGAGAGGGAGGAGAGGGAGGAGAGGAGAGAGGGGAGGAGAGGAGAGGGAGGAGGAGGGAGGAGAGGGAGGAGAGAGGAGGAGAGAGGAGGGAGAGGAGAGGAGGAGGAGGGAGGAGAGGAGGAGAGGGAGGAGAGAGAGGAGAGGGAGGAGAGAGGGAGGAGAGGGGAGGAGAGGGGAGGAGGAGGGAGGAGGAGGAGGGGAGGAGAGAGGAGGAGAGAGGGAGAGAGGGAGGAGAGGGGAGGAGAGGAGGGAGGAGGAGGAGGGGGAGAGAGGGAGAGGGGAGGAGGGGGGAGGAGAGAGGAGAGAGGGGGAGAGAGAGGGAGAGAGAGGGGAGGGAGGAGGAGAGAGGGAGGAGAGAGAGGGGAGGAGAGGGAGGAGAGGAGGAGAGGGGAGGGAGAGGAGGAGGGAGGAGGAGAGGAGAGGAGAGAGGGAGGAGAGGGAGGAGAGGAGGAGAGGAGAGGAGAGGAGGAGGAGGGAGGAGAGGGAGGAGAGGGAGGAGAGAGGGGAGGAGAGAGGGGAGGAGAGGGAGGAGAGGAGAGAGGAGAGGAGGAGAGAGGGAGGAGAGGGAGGAGAGAGGGGGAGGAGAGGGAGGAGGAGAGGGGAGGAGAGAGGGAGGAGAGAGAGAGGAGGAGAGAGGAGGAGAGAGAGGGGAGGAGGAGGAGGAGGAGAGAGGGAGAGAGAGGAGGGAGGAGAGAGGAGGAGAGAGGAGGGAGGAGAGAGAGGAGGAGAGGAGGAGAGGGAGGAGAGAGGGGGAGGAGAGGGAGGAGAGGGAGAGGAGGGAGGAGGAGAGAGGAGAGGGAGGAGAGGGAGGAGAGGAGAGAGGGAGGAGAGGGAGGAGAGGAGGAGGAGAGAGGAGGAGAGAGAGGAGAGAGGGGAGGAGAGGGAGGAGAGGAGGAGAGAGGGAGAGAGGAGAGAGGGAGGAGAGGGAGAGAGGAGAAGAGAGGGAGGAGAGAGGGAGGAGGGAGGAGGAGGAGGAGAGAGAGAGAGGAGAGAGGGAGGAGAGAGAGGGAGGAGAGGGAGGAGAGGAGAGAGAGGAGGAGGAGAGAGGAGAGAGAGGGAGAGAGAGGGAGGAGAGAGGGGGAGAGAGGGGAGGAGAGAGGAGGAGGAGAGGGAGGAGAGGGAGGAGGAGGAGAGAGGAGGAGAGAGGAGGAGAGAGGAGGAGAGGAGGAGAGGGAGGAGAGAGGAGAGAGAGAGAGGAGAGAGGGAGGAGAGAGAGGAGGAGGAGAGGAGAGAGGAGAGGGAGGAGAGAGGGAGAGAGGGAGGAGGAGGGAGGGAGGAGAGAGAGAGGGAGGAGGAGAGGAGGGAGGAGGGGGAGAGGGGAGAGAGAGAGGAGAGGAGGAGAGGAGAGGAGAGGGAGGAGAGGAGAGGGAGAGAGGGAGAGGAGGAGAGGAGGAGAGGAGAGAGGAGGAGAGGAGGAGAGGAGAGAGGAGAGAGGAGGAGAGAGAGGAGGAGAGAGGAGGAGAGGGAGGAGAGAGGGAGGAGAGGAGAGGAGAGGAGAGGAGGAGGAGAGGAGAGGAGAGGGAGAGGAGAGAGAGGAGAGAGAGAGGAGAGAGGAGGGAGAGAGAGGAGAGAGGAGAGGGAGGAGAGGGAGGGAGAGAGGAGGGGAGAGAGAGAGGAGAGAGAGAGGGAGAGGAGAGAGAGGGAGGAGAGAGGAGGAGAGGGGGAGAGGAGGGAGGAGGAGAGGGAGGAGAGAGAGGAGGAGAGGAAGAGAGGAGAGAGAGGAGAGGAGAGAGAGGGAGAGGGAGGGGAGAGGAGAGAGAGGAGGAGAGGAGGAGAGGAGGAGAGGAGGAGAGAGGAGGAGAGGAGAGAGAGGAGGAGAGAGAGAGAGGAGAGAGAGGGAGGAGAGGGGGAGAGGAGAGAGGAGAGGAAGGAGAGAGAGGAGAGAGAGGAGAGAGGAGAGAGAGGAGGAGAGGGGGAGAGAGAGGAGAGAGGAGGAGAGAGGAGAGAGAGGAGAGAGAGAGAGAGAGAGGAGAGAGGAGAGAGAGGGAGGAGAGGAGAGGAGAGAGGAGAGAGAGGAGAGGGAGAGAGAGAGAGAGGAGAGAGAGAGAGGAGAGGGAGAGAGGAGGGAGAGGAGAGGAGAGAGGAGAGAGAGAGGAGAGGGAGAGAGAGAGGAGAGAGAGAGAGAGAGAGAGAGAGAGAGGAGAGAGAGAGGGAGAGGGAGATAGGAGAAGAGAGAGAGAGAGAGAGGAGAGGAGAGAGAGAGAGGGAGAGAGGAGGGAGAAGAGAGAGAGAGAAGGGGAGAGGGAAGGAGAGACAGAGGGAGAGCGAGAGGGAGAGAAGGGGAGAAGGAAGGGGAGGAAGAGAGAGAGAAACAGGAACGGAGAGAGAGGGAAAGAGGGGAAGGGAGGTGGGAAGTGGAGAGAGGGAAAGAGACACAGAGAGAGAGAGGACAAAGACAGAAAGAGAGGGAGGGAGGAGAGGAGAGGAGGGAGGAAAGAGGTGGGAGAGGGGATAGGGAAGGAGGAAGACTGGAGTGAGAGAGGGAAGAGAGAGGGAGAGAGGTGGGTGAAAGGAGGGGGAGAAGGGGAGAGGGAAGGAGAGACAGAGGGAGAGAGAAAGAAAGAGAAAGAGAGAGGGGAGGGGGGAGAGAAGGGAGAGAAGGGAAAGAGAGACTGAGAAAGAGAGGGAGAGAGTCAAAGAGGGAGACAGAGAGAAGAGAAAAAAGAGATACAGAGAGTGACAGAGAGCGAGGGGTAGAGGGAAGGAGAGAGAGACAGCTAGGGAGGAAGGGAGAGAGAGGGGGCAAAGAGACAAAAAGAGGGAGGGAGAGAGGGAAAGAGAGGGAAAGAGAGGGAGAGGGACTGGAGAGAGAGAGAGAAAGAGACAAAAAGAGGGATGGAGGTGGAGAGGGAGAGACAAAGAGAGACAGAGAAGAGAAAGAAAGACAGAGAGAGTCACAGAGACAGAGGGGTGGAGAGAGAGAGAGGGAGGAAGGGAGGTGGAGTGGGAAAGTGAGAGACAGAGAGAGAGAGAGAGAGAAAGAGGGCAAAGAGACAAAAGGGATAGAGAGAGAGAAAGAGAGGCGGAGAGAGTGGGGAGACAGAGAGAGAGAGAGAGAGAGGAAAAAAGAGGGAGAGAGAGATGGATGAAAGGAAAGAGAGACAGACAGAGGAAGAGACAAGGACAAAGAGAGAGAGAGGAGGAGAGAAGAGAAAGAAAGAGAGTGACAGAAACAGAGGGGAGGAGGGAGGGGAGAGAGAGAAACAGGGCAGAGAGAGAGAGAGAGAGGGAGTGGGGAGTGGGGAGAGAAAGAGAGAGAAGAGAAAGAGAGAGAGAGACAGAGAGACAGAGGGGTGCTGTGGTTTCACCAGCCCTCTCTCTCTCTCTCTCTCTCTCTCTCTCATCCCTTTCTAATCCATCTTTCCTTCTTTGCTTGTCCCTCCATCCTCCTGTCTTTTGCCTCTGTCACCCCTCTCCCTCCTCCCTCCCTCTTTCTCTCTCTCTCTCTCCTTCTACTCCCATCTGTTTTCTGTCAAACCTTGCCCATCCCTCTCTCCCTCCTCTTCCTCTTCCTCTTCCTCCTCTCAGTGTAGAAGAAGGTTCAGATTTCAGTAATTGTGATGTTGCTGGAGCTTTGATCCCTGTAATCCTCAAGCCTAAACTGAGGCTGTGTCCTGGACAATGGAGCTCTGCAGACCAACAGCAGCAGTCAGGAGTTTGGTCACACACACACACACACACACACACACACACACACACACACACACACACACACACACACACACACACACACACACTGCAGCCCAAGTCCACTCTCCACCTGAATAATAATCATTTAGCCCAGTTCAACTAGTGCATCGGTGTTATGTAGTGCTTTTATACACCTGAGACTGTATAAAGAAGTGGACTAAGTGAATCTGAAGCAGTTATAGAGGCAAATTTGGAGCCGAGTTCCATATTAGGACTGGGAATTAACCCTTTCCACACCGACGGTATCGTATATACAATACCTGGGAACAGTGTTAT